TGCGTTCCTCTTTATTGTATTTATATCGTCCCCCAATAAATTAACATCATCAGCATATGCCAATAGCTGATGTGTCCCGTTCAATTGCAAACCCTCCTGCCTATCTTGGACTTTCCTGATAGCATATTCTAGCGCAAATTTAAAGAGCAAGATAGACAAAGCCTCTCCTTGTTTTAGACCGTTCTTGGTGGAAAATGACTCGGATGAATATTTACCTATACGAATTTTGCTACAGGTTTCATTTAAGCACATTTTTATTAGACTCACCAGCTTCTTTGGTTTGCCAGATTCAATGAGAATGTTATATAGCACTTCTCTCTTCACAGAATCATAGGATTTTTTGAAATCTATAAATAACTGATGTACGGTCCCAATGAATTCCCATTTTTTCTCTAGTGCCTGACGAATGCAAAGGATCTGATCAATCGTTGATCTGTTACGTCTGAACCCACACTGATGATCCCTGATCATTTAATTCACATATGGAGTTAATTTCACAGTTTTTGTTGTAGTTTTGTACGTAACAGAGGAAAACAAACTTTCGAAGTACTGACAGAACTCTTCATGCATAAAACTGTTACAATGTAGCTTAAGATAAATTTCCAGTGCTCTGAAATATGGCTAAAAGAAAATTGACACAGAGTTAATTGAAAAGTACAAAATGCATCACCGTCACTCTTTTATCGGTTTTCACTTACCATTCAGTTTTAACAAGTGATTCAAGATGTGAAATGCATAAAAATAAAATCCTCTTTTTTCCCAGGAAAAATTCTTCTGTTCTACATCCTCTTCTACTCTGGGCTGGTCGGTTTCTTCTTGGCCATGATTGCCGTATTCTATCAGACGATAGATCTGAAAATCCCCAAATGGCAACAAGACAGATCTGTCATTGGGAGCAATCCAGGTACGACAACAATTATTATGTTCAATGCGACTTTTATTAAGCAGAAGGAAAAGGGCAAGGTAACCGAGGGGTCGTTTTTGTCATAATTACCTTCACTGATAGGCATTTAAATTCCCTGCAGAAACAGGTGGAAATTCTTCGCCTGACAGACGAATGTTTGGTAAAATACTTTATGCCCAATTCTCAAGGCTTGCCTTCGATGCCTCATGAATTCTTCGACCCTCACTAAACCAATCAAGTCTCCAAGTCAAAAGATAATTTGTACAAGTTTACTAGGAAATGCGAGTGTAGCTGAATTCATTCATAATATTCCAGTCTGTTGTAAAAGCGTAATCAATTCAAATAATATCTTATCTCCTGTGGCTGTATTTGGCGCAGTTTCCTTTTATTGTGTTTTTGGATACAAGTTCAAAAACAAAGTAAATCTGTCTTGGAGAAATTATTTAATGTGGAAGAACTGAAAAGAAAATCCTTGAATGAACCTAATATTATCTGCAAGTTTCACGAGACACGAGTTCTATTTTATCACGTGTCAGGTCTCGGATTCCGTCCTATGCCTCCTGAAAGCAATGTTGAAAGTACCTTGATCTGGTACAGGGGAAATGACGAGGAAAACTACAAGTATTGGACAGAAGAGCTGGATAAATTCTTGGAAGGTAAGAAAAATTATTTGTACAGTACCTTACATCGTACAAGAACAATCATGTCAGTGTTTCTTTAAAAACAAAGGATACTTACTACACGTGAAGCATTTCCTTATATTTTCAAAAGAGCGCGCTGAAAAGCTGACGTGATAAGGCACATGCCTTATCCACATGACATAATTTGTCAGTGTCTAAAGTTTACAGTGTGAACAAACTACATGTTTTTTTTTTTATTACATCACTGTAGTTGGAAGAACCTTGTATCTGAATTGTCTGACGTACATCTGTGTCTCTTCTGCCTCTCCTCACAGTGTACAAGAATCCTAGTTCTGTCCCTGGAGATGGCAAAAATATAGTACATTGTGATTATGAAAACTCTCCTGGAGACAAAGTATGCTACGTGGATCCCAAAGAGTGGCGCTCCTGTTCGCCAGAAAATAATTACAACTATCATAGGTCAGCCCCATGCATATTCCTCAAATTAAATAAGGTGAGTCAGAAGTTCAGTTTTAAGAAATTATTAACAAGTCCGCACAACGGACATTGCAAGAGGAATGAATATCGGACGTCTCGATTTGTACGACTATTATATCGATATATAGCGAGATTAATAAAATATGCGACTTCTGTCAAGGCTCTTTTTTGTGTAATGTAAAACAATAACACAGCTAATACACAAGTTTTTAATTTTATGGTGATGATAAATCAGTCTAGTAAGGCATCTGAAATTGTGTGTATGTAAACATCTTATATGAAACATTTTCCTATGTTAAAAGTTCCAAACACAGTCGCAGTGTAAAAGAGTCTATTGGGTGAATTTAGCCTTTGAAGTAATAGGGTTTTAAATTCCCACTCCCCTTGCTGGTCTGATTTAAATCCCATAGTTGAGCTACGTTGTACATGTGTTTTGATAAAACAACGTAACTTTGTTAAAAACCCAAATAAAATACACATTACACAAAAAGTTTGACCTTGTCACTTGGAACTGTTCCAGGAAAGGAACATTACATGTTTTTACAGCTCTTTTGCTATTTTTAGACACATATTTTGAAAAAAATATTATGATATTGATATATTTTCCTTAAAATGTGAATCCATCGTGCAAACGTTTCTTTTACCTCGGACAAGCAACTGTAGAATTGTTTGTTCCTGCTATACGTGCACACAAAGAGAGGTTTAACTAACTTGTCTCCCCCATAATACAGTCTGCCAATTAAGGTCAGTTTTGCTTGGCACAGTTTCAAACAAAAAGAAATGTGCAGTCCAACACATGGGCCTCAAAACAGCTCAGCGTTTCACTCGCTCTTTCTCCAGCCTGGGATGAAGTTGGGCTTGGTCTTCGTATTCCCTTTTCATCTTCCACTGCAAAGAAATGGTCACAGACACTATTTCTGCTCTCCATGTACCATCATTTGCAAACTATTCAGATCAATTTTCTTTTGAATAAGGAAGAACTGTTGGTTCCTCAGCTTCTCCTGGATCGTGGTCCAGATACGGCCCTCGTACCATTTTCTCCACTCAAACAGAGACCTATTTATGTATTTACAATACATGTTATTATGTAAATGAGAACTAATGAAAATACACAAGAGACATCTAACCGTAACCGCAGACCACACACCGATGATAAAGAAGTAACTCTGTCGTAATGTTCCTCCATAATGGTAAACACTCGTCTTCCGATTCACATCACTTTGAATAAATTTGAATGAATTGTGCCTGACCAGCGTATCTTTACAAATGATGAATGAATGCTGCTGTACCTTCAGTGTGTGCGTGCGTTAGAGAGAGAAAGAGAGCACAGAAGAGAGTGAGTGAAGAGTTTTAATAATGAGCGTGTGGCTCTGGGCTTAACCAATCTCTTACCTAGGCAGGCTTTTCTTTCCTGCAGGTAAAGTGGCCAGTGGTTTTAAGTGTGTGTGGCACTTCACCTCTTTTTCCTCTACAGGTCAACATTCATCAGCAGATGTTAAAAAATTTACCTTCATTATTTATTGTTTGGACAGCCACGGTGGTCTAGCGGTTAGAACGCTGGCCTTGTAATCCTGAGGTCTCGGGTTCGATTCCCGGCGGTGCAAGGCCGTGGTCTAGGCAACATGGAGTTTTCCTCCGGGGGCTTCCCCGGTTTCTCTGTGGCATCCCAACAATTACTCCATTTACACACAGAAGAAGGCAATGGCAAACCCCTTCTGGATCATCTGCCAAGAACGTATATGAACAGGTCCCAGTCCGAGAAAAGGATGGAAGGATCCTGTTCATATGGACCTGTCCTCAGACAGAACACTAAATAAATAAAATTTATTGTTTACAATGTCCCCAGTTATGTTACGGTTAAAGGAACTAATTTTTGTAGATCTACAACTGGATTCCTGAGTACTACAATGAGACGACTTCTCTTCCTGAGAACATGCCGAAGGATCTGAAAGAACACATCCATACCATAAAAAATCATCATGAAGTAAGTTCATTTCCCCGTATGCTTCCATAAGATTACGGCAACGAAGCACACATGCAACATGGAATCAAACATATACACAAAATAGGGTTGCTGTACACAGGTCTTCAAAATCCACAAACCTCGAACACGAAGCATGCTTTTTACAATTTTTCCTATAAGACAGTCCACCACAGTTCAGATAAAAATGATGATTCATATTAATTGTTCCTGGTGTCATGGCATTAACATTATTTTATTACAAGTAAACTGATGTTACACCTTTCCTTTTCCTTCCGTGCACGTTCCTGTCAGTATACAAGATAGGATAATACACCAGTACTTCTCAAACAGTGGTCTGCAAACTGTAATTTGCATGCAAGTAACTTTTTACCCCTCTCCCTCTATTGCAGCGTTTATTAATATAACTTGCGAAGTTGAAAACAGATTTATCTGAACTATAGTCACATGTTTGAAACAAAATACCTGTTACCTAAATTAAAATGCAATTCCTGACATCAGTATCAATTTAATTATTCTTCACATTACCAATGTTTCAGCTGAACACTGTCTGGGTTAGTTGTGAAGGAGAGAATCCAGCAGACGTGGAGAACATGGGGCCTATCCAGTACATCCCTAGACGAGGGTTCCCCGGCTACTTCTTCCCATTCGCAAACAAAGAAGGATATCTCAGTCCTCTGGTTGCAGTGTGGTTTGAAAGACCTACCAGTAAGTTCACTTTTTACTATTAGACAGAGTATAACCCCCATTAAATGCATCCTGATGGAAGTATTTCCCTCATCTAGGAAACAAATTCTGTCGTCCATGTACCCATTATCACAGCGTTAAATACTCTCCATTTCAGGTTTCCCTCAGTTTAGTGTTCAAATGTGTTGTCCCCTACAGAAATGTTGAATGGGGATTCTACTGTATCCTCTGCGACCAATGGCTGGCTCTAATACCCTTGGAAGAGGTCACAGTAGTGTATTTATTTTAGGTTAGGTTGGGTAATTTCTCCCCCACCCTTTATCAGTAAGAAAGTGACTGTATCAGGACAAGCCGATTGTAATCACCATTTTTGAATGTTGCCTGAGCGTTACAGGGGCCAAAGCACATAAAGGAACTGCCACAACTCCCAACCGGTGGAGAGCACTGTCTCATCTTTGTAGTTGGGGTGCAGGGCTCTTAAAGCCTAAAGTCGAGAACAATCCTATGTGGCGTTCTGCAGTTCACACAGAAACGAAGGTCTCCGCCGTTCTTCTGGATAACCGTTATTCTTCATGCCATTAACTATCTCGTTCGCCTCGGCCTGCTTGACCTCCGAAGACTGCGAGGGGTGGACGGGCGTGGCATTGCCGCGGTCAACAAGGTGTAAACAGTGCCCGTTCGCCCGTAGTCGTTACTTCTCGTTACAAAAATGAACTGGTTCATGGCCTTTGAATGAGTTCATCTGAGTGATATTTCTTACAAACATCCTACATCCTGTATAATTTTTAAAACTTCTACAGAAATTTTAATTGTTAATCTAATGTTTTATAATGGGTAAGTTCTGATTTTTGGTCCGATCATTTTAATGAGGAGAATAATAAAACAAACTTTCCACATGCTAATTCAAATGCACTGCCTAAAGTGCAGTAATGAATTCCATGTATAAAGGTCGATTTAATTTGACATAAATCATGACTTGCACGCTTCTTTAGTTTCTGATCAATAACATCCATGACAAAGAATTTGTTTGTTATAATTTCAGCTGGAGTGTTGGTCAACATTGAATGTAAGGCATGGGCACACAACATTCGCCATGATCGTGCTGAGAGGCGAGGGTCAGTACATTTTGAATTGATGATTGACTAACATGTTTCACAAGAGGACATTAAAAATAAGGATAGATGCAGTGAGATTTTTCATCGTTCAATGGAGGGAGATAAAGGCCGGCATGCAGGGATATGCTGAGACCCAATGACTCCCTAGAACTTCATTCATAATCACTAGTACATACTATAGTACAGTGTATAATACTCTAGTTCTTAGATAATAAATTTGCTTTGGGTATTCAATATACACGTCATTTTTGGAAGTACAATAAATAATACTCTAGTTCTGATTAGATATTAAATCTGCTCTGAGTTTTCAATACATTCACGCTTTCTTTGTTGATGTTAATGCTTGATGAACAGAGATCTTAAATTGTCATTTAAACTTTTGTTCTCCATGTTATAAGTCAAATTTCTGCCTTCACTTCAGATAAATATTTTTGCAAGCCATATCAAATCTTGTCCTTAGGTACCTTTATTCCACTGTTGTCATTTAATTTCATACATTGATTTGTAAATAGTTTCCAGTCATATTGTATTGACTCCATATTTATTGCTTCAAGAGCAAATGTTTAAAAGATTGTTAATTGTAACATAGTAATATTGTACAAAGTACTGAGTTTATGCTGCCTAACAAAATGAACAGACTTTGATAACAAATTATGCTATATATGAACTGTTGCTAAATTAAGGCCATTGTTAATGTTGTATTTAGTTTCATATATTTGATTTCATTCATCCAATTAATTGAAAAAGGAAGTGAATTGAAAGATACATAAAACATGTACCCTGGGTTAGAACCATATACATGCAATCCTACTACAGGGTTGAATCTTTCAGTAACTTAAATGCACAGTCACTACTTAAAAAACAAAGATGCTGTTAGTGTAGCAAACCAGATGTGTGTATAAAATGCTAAAAATCACATAGCAATAGTAAGATACCATGTGATTATTTGGTCACACTTTGAAGTATACAGCTGAGCAATGCGTCCTTTATGCTTTACTGCATTGTTATTATGCTCATCCCTTACATCATTAATCATATAAGTCATGGCCTATAATACTTAACAGTACTTTATTCACAGTATTATGGTAATGGGTTAGAAGATTGAATTAAGGGTCCAACTGTGTTGGATTTTATGTTATATGAACAAAATACATGCACAAGCCAGTCGTCATTATTTTACATGTCAACTCAATGTCAGTATGTTCACTATCACGATAAAAATATGCACTGTATAATAGGATAGCTTGAAGAAAGAGTACATATTTCAAGGAAATAGATTGTTTCATGTGATTAAATAAATATCTTTAAATTGTTTCTTATGTAAATGTTAAACACTTAAGGATAACTTTTAATTTTGATGTTCTGTGTCGCTAAGATGTGTAACTTCTCTTAAGAGAAGCAATAAATGTTCTTTAGAGGATACTTTCTTTTTCTTTAATATCTTAATAATATGCCTGATGTGAAGGCCCAGAATGCGTTTATGTTGTGCTACATTTACAACAGAAAAAAAAAAGTCATATCCCTGAATAAATTCAGAGTACTGACAAGAATAGGAATTTGAACTCTAGTGGAAAGCAGGTAGTTTGCAAAACACATTCATTGTGATTTTGCACACCACTAAATATGAGGGTCACTCCAAAAGTAATGCCCATTTTTTTGAGAAATCATTTATTCTATAGCATTGCTATTGATACATTTTATAGGTATCTCCTTTAGGAGGAAAATCGTATTTTTCCACATCATCACTTCCACTCTCAACTGATTTTTTCCACCTCTTAACAAATGCTTGTATACTCGCCTTGTGAAACTAAGGACCTGCATTCCTCAGGCAATTTTTCGCCGCTGCCACAAGAGACTCCATCTTACCCAGATAATCGCTTAACCCAACGACCAACTGTGCTGCGATCGACAGCATAATCCCCATACACCTTTTGCAGTCACTTGTGGATGTTTCCCAGTGTCTCGTTCTCACACATCGAGAATTCAATAACAAAACACATTGCTTCTAACACACAACAAAAACAGACGCCATTTTTAATATGTGGTATAACAACGCCACTACCGGGACGTGAATGAACTAAGCATGAATGAAAGCGGGAAGAATATACCTACAAACTGAAAAAAGGAAAGCTGTGGAATAGAAAGTTTTTAAAAATGTGGGGCAACTCTTTTGGAGTGACCCTCGTATTATAATTATTTACTGGAAACACAAATTAATGTTTCTAGATAAAGTCAGAATTTACTTTTCCCTGTATTTTTTTTAAATGCAGTACCATATTAAAAAAATCCTTCAAAATCATCATGTACTGAATCATTAATTATGGCTATACATATCACTTATAAATGACACTGGATAACAGTAGCAGAATAGAAACCTATAAATCAAGTCTTTCTCATTTATTATTTACAGTTCATATGAATGATAGGGCTATAAAACGTAAACATGCATCAAGCAGCAGCACAGCTATAAATAGAAATTTAAAACTATAGACACCTTACTTTTCACAGCTGACCAGGTCGTTATGATAGCCTCATACAATGAAATGCAATGCTCAGTATACTACTTGGAAAATAGTATTTGTGATTTTAACATGGAAATTTCTCCTATGAAGAACAAAATAACTTTTCAAGGGAAAACCCCATTGCAGCAAAATTAGTGAACAAGTTAGCTGTTTTAAATATCTTGGATGTAACAACACATATTAAAATGTAACATTCTAATTACAATAAAGTGAAAGGATAAATAAATGAATAAATAAGACTGGTTCAGAAACATACAAAAAGTAGTTTACAAGACTTTATCGCTGCCGCCATCATCGGGTGACGATGGCTTCGACAACGGAAATAGTGAGCACCTCTGAAATATCAGTCAGTTTTTAGCAGACTACACAGCACATCATCCTACAAGACAGTCATCTTCATACTTGCTATCGTGAGAACTTGAAATCTGCTTTTGTTCAAAAGCACTTGTACTAGAATATGCCACCAACTGCAAAATTTGATTCAGTTCGTTCTGATGTAGAGTGCAGTAGCCTTGATGGAACTATTCGGATTTATCTTACATGACTGCCGAAATTTAAATTCAAGGGAACAGTAGCCAATGCTTGTTTAGATTATATGAGGTAATTAGACACAACAAACAAATTAAACACACTATCATGGAATTGATCAAAAATTAGAATTAGAAAAAAATCCAATTCAAAATTTTGAACTACGCTATCAAATAAGCACCCAATACACATCACGCTACATTCCTAATATTAATAATAAGCGACGAAGGGGTAGTTCAACCAGTATAGTGACTGATTACAGACTGGACGACCGGTGTATGATCCCCAACAGGGGCACGGGATTTATCGTCTAGCCTCCGAATTCAGACTAGCTCTGGGGCCCACCCAGCCTCCTATCCAATGGGTACCAGGAGTCCCTTCCCTGGGAGTAAAGCGCGACCAGGGTTTGATGCCAGCCGCTCACTCCCTTCTAACGCCAAGGTCAAGAATGAGTAGGAGCTTTACAACCTCACTTCCTCATAGCCAAGCTCAGATAGCAGCCTCATTTCCACTCACTGGCTAAAAACTTAATTACTACTAGCCAGGTAGTAGAAAAAGGAATGTATTATGCCCCTGCATGCAAAAAGTGACATGTGTCCTGAAGATGTACAATGGGAACCCCCTCTGTATCCACATGTGCATTTGACCATGACATAACCCCCCCAGTCCCCTCCCACCTTAATTACGCTACTGTAATATGATTGATGAACTATAAAATGGAAATACCGTGGACATCACCTAATTTAATGTACTACCTGACAAGTGACTGTATACACTCCAGATGCCCTGGTAGCAAGGTAAGCCTTGTCCGAGAACTAAACGCACATTATGTCACTGAATATGAAAAACAATCAAAATAAAATACTTTTTTGCAGTTGGTTATAAATTCCGTTTATTATAACAGCAAAACCTGTCAACATTTTAACATTTTGTACCAATCATAACATGCAATTGTATACAAAATATACACTTTCTTTTTGTACATATGAAAAATATAAGAGGTTTAAACAAAACTAAATTATATTAGAATATAAAATAAACAAGGTGCCATAATTAAAAACATACTTTTTACAAATTAATGTAATTTGTGGAGACATTTTGAAAATGCATAGACTAACAATGAAAACAAAAATCAGGTACGCTGTTTCAACGGCGTTTCGGTGGTAGTATTTTTCACCTAGTAACTATATCCTGTTTTAAATGTATTGCTCATTGGTGGTAGTATTTCTATTGCTTTCATATGACTACATGTCATTTATAATTGAAAAACAGGTAAAGTTCAATCTGCAGTTAAATAGATTTTAACTGCAATTTTGAAGTGATACAAAATCTGTGAACATTTTGTATCTTTCTTCATTCTTCTGATGCCATACTTTGTCTCTTCTTCATTAATTTCCATTACACACTTTCCATATTCCTTTCTATCTCCAGGATTCAAACAAGACAGTGAGTAGCCGTTAGTTGTGCAACCACACGCAAGAGTCAAAGAAATCAGCATCAGTTAGTTTTAAATATTTGTACTGCCTGCCTGCTTTCACACATTTAAGAACTTAGTATGTGTGTTAGTGTAAATAAAATGTTTCCAATGGTTTGTTTAAATTTAGTAGCATTTTACTATGTTTTCAAATATAGAATACCAAAGACTCAACAACAGATTTTGCTAGAAATTTAATTTTAAAGTGTTTCAGTTATTTCATGAAAGAGACAGAGAAAAATAAGTCTGTGCATGATGCTGCTGACTTTTAGCATTATAATTCATGGAACTCAAGTTCAAGTTTGAAATCTCCAAGCATCAAAGTATTTTACCTTTCTCTGTCTCGGCATGACAAACCGTCCATCTGAAATCTCCAAGCATCAAAGTATTTTAGCTTTCTCTGTCTCGGCGTGACAAACCGTCCATCACACATCTGCCATTACACTGAGATCATAGTACAATATATTTTAATTCTTAATTGTGGTACTGAAATGTAGCAGGAGGCACTGAAATACCAACATACTTTCATGCATTAACATCCAAACATTTCTTTTTACTTTTCTTAATATTAATCATATCTTAAAAATACTCCTTTTTTTATAAAACAGATGAGATGAAAAGCACCGATTTCACACATTATGTGCATAAAGCATTCTACGTGCTGTTGAAGTCCTTAATCTGGCGACCATTCTTCCGTAAATATCTGTACTGTATATATATATATCCACAGACTCACTCAAGTTTCTTATGTGACTGAACATTTTTTGGTAACTTCTACAATAGGTTTCATTGTGTCATACATACCTGCTGTCTTGTCAGTTTGAATAATGTATTGAACCAGTGAGTTCATAAAAAATTCAAAATCCAGCACATTGCTGAACCTTGCTTTGTAAATATCTGTACTGTATATATATATATCCACAGACTCACTCAAGTTTCTTATGTGACTGAACATTTTTTGGTAACTTCTACAATAGGTTTCATTGTGTCATACATACCTGCTGTCTTGTCAGTTTGAATAATGTATTGAACCAGTGAGTTCATAAAAAATTCAAAATCCAGCACATTGCTGAACCTTGCTTTGAATCAGAATTTCCTCTCACTACATGCAAGTGTGTGTCTGTAACTAGGTATACTGATTAGAAAAAAAAATTATTTGGGGAAAATATTACATCTTCTAAATCACAATAAAATATGAACACTACGGCCATTTGGTTTACATTACAAATGCAGCTCTCGGTAAGCATATTGCAGTCTTCTGAAAGTTATGGTATTACTGGTAACAATTATATTCAAGTACACACTACTGTACTGCAGTACTAAAAATATACATATATTCTATTAACATACAAACTTAACATGACAAATGTACAAATAAACTTTCACGATATACTGCACCAAACAACGTATCTATATGAGGCCTGCTATGAAAAGGTTAGGTCCCTACAAATTACTGTTTGACTTCAGCCATTCTTACAGAGCACCAACAATATCATAAGTACAGGATTAGTTCACATTCGTAACATAAATCAGAGAGTCTGAAAATACCATATTAGCGGCAACCGAAGACGAAGGTATTGAGCATTCTGATATGCTAAATCATATCGCAGAGCCTGTAGATAAACAGACACAGATTCAGACTTCAAATTACTATGAATATTATATACTTACAACTTTTTCTTCCTTAAATATATACAGACTCACTGTCACTGAATTAACTCATTCCTCACACAAGAACATGCTTACCAGTCACAGAAAAGTTTAGAAATAAATATAAATTCTTTGTGATGATATAATGTGATAAACTATAATCAGGCTGGTTCAGGTCTTTAAAACGGAATGTAATGTCAAGAACACTATTTCTGACATAATCAGGCTGGTTCAGGTCTTTAAAATGGAATGTAATGTCAAGAACACTATTTCAGTATTAAAACTGATGCATAGAAGAGCTTTAACCTATAACAACACACTACCATAAACCAACAGGTATGCCACATTATTATTATGCATTCGATGCAAACCAAACTAGCAAATAACACATAATTATGAGGTCTAACAACATTAGAACATTAATATTAATCATAACAAACTTGTACAAGACCAAAAAACAGTATGAACTTAACACCAATAATTCTATAATTTCTACAAAATAATTCGAAGTAATCATACACTGTGCATAGGTTCAGACATGACCATATCCATCTATCAGATCTTCCCCTATGTGCGTGATGACATAGTCATGATAATACATCATAATACAGAGAGGCTGACCAAGGATCAGAGAGGCCCACACTACTATATTGCCCCATCGAGGACCATATCTCGTCTCCATGAATTTGCTAAAAATTGAGAGCGGAATCTGTAACAGAAATGAGACTAAAGTGTTAGAAAGGCACTGTAATGAATACTTATATATGAATGTAGTAAATTGTCATAGCATCAAAGTGCGCAGACCAGTAGCGTACCTAGAATTTTATAACAGAGGATATTTGTAAACCAGTTGACAAAGCTGTATTTTTAAATAAAGCATGTCATTCACGAACAGACCTTTCCTCTGAGAGCAGATATCTGCATTTAACCAGAGGATATTTTGTACCTGACAACCCTACCCAGCAAACACAGGCTTGGCTTAACTTGAAAATTTCTACACTATGACATTTACAGTAAGAAAACTAACCACCCCAAACAATATCACAATATCATAACTATTTTTACAACCCTATAGTTTAAAAGAAGTTTTATCCAGGCAAGATCATGTTTACAACACAGTTACATACACGTAGATATAATTAACAAGACTAGAAAGGTGTAATCCATACCAGAATACGCACACGCATTCCATGCAAATTCTGAATTCTGAGCGCTAATAATTGTACAAAACCTAAAATTACTAAACTAATGTTTTGTATTTTTCAAAAATCTACAACTATACATCATTGTATGGCCCTATTACAAGCAGTGCCAGTGTCAATTCCAGTCTGTCCATCATGTTCGTATTGACAATTGTAGGAAATTGAAATTTGGTAACATTTCATTCAAATTCATGCAGCAATTCTCTACCTGAATCATGCGGACAGACATACATGACCACCCAGCCCTACATGAATTAATTTCGTGCACACTGTGCAAAGAACACATAAAAATGAGTGCATTCAGTGGAAACTTAATGGACATTCCTACCGAACTCTGTGGAGTAACAAGTTGTGCTCCTGTTTCAGATTCAGTTTCTTGGCATGAATTTCAGCCTGAAGATTGGCTATCCTGACTCAGATTTTTCATACATTCCTGAGTTTCTCCATTAAATTCTGGGATGAAGGTAAAGTGGCTAAGTCTGTGTTTATACACAAGGCCAACATGACACAGGGGAGTGCCTTTTTAACATTGCCACTAGATAAAAGTGAGTGGTCAGCTTCATGCTCTGGCTAATTTATCCCCAGGGAAGAGCCCCTAGTACCTACTGGACAGGAGGCTGGGTGGGATTAAGAACTCCAGTAATAAATTTGTAGCAGCAATATTGGAGCAAGGTCAATGAAGTATGCAAAATCACAACAAATTTGTGTAGTATGAATAGTTCTGCAGTAACAATTGGTCACTATACATAGCTACTATCGGAACCTACACTTTGCGCCATCACGTATTTTGTCCACATTCCCTCTTGGTTTCACGCACTCTTTGCTACATGTTTTAGTTAACGTCTGTCATGTGGGTAGGAAACTAGATTTTTAACTGCAGTATCACCAACAAACGAACATCAAGATCAAACTTATAAGAAACATAAACACTTTCTCTAGTACAGGAATACTTCATAAATTTGTAGTCCTGCGTCAAACGTGGAGAAACACTTCATTTCCCCACTGAACCGTAGCAAGTAAATCCAACAGCAACAGAAATGAAAATCCACTGAACCACAACGAAGTTCCTTTCAACTGTACAGTAACTGGCGAAAATCTGAAAGTCTGACCTTACGAGTGTTGAGGTGTCAGTCAGGCCTACACTTTCTACGCTCAAAATATGGTGCCAGATGAAAAACACGTTTCAATACGTACAGCGCGGAACTGATGACAGTTAAACTAATAATCCACCGATGTACGTAAAATTAGCAAAACTAAAAATGATATTCACATTAACAAAAATTACAAAAATGTCTGATTTGTTTGCATGCCAGGACCCCAAATTTTTGAAAGGGTAGTATAACCCCCCCTCTCACCTATTAACCTTCAGCAGAATGTTCAAGCTTTTTTACGTTCGTGTTGGTACCTGTGTATATGGACACATTTTCTTCAGTGAACAGAAAACATAGCACTTTTACTGGACACACATCTCTAGTAATTATACTACACACGTACATTAAAAGAACAACTTACCTGCCCCATCATTCCCATGAATGCCCATGTTTTGAAGGTTCTGAGGGGCACACTGACGAGGTACTCGTGAAAGAATGCACTAACAAAGAAAACAGCTACACCTGCTGCGGTCCTGGAATAACCCATTTCAACCAGCGGTATATATAAATGTCTGAAATCAGTATTACAAATCAACATTAATATTAAATTAATTGTGTAGCCAAAGGAAAACCATCAAACTAAAAACAAATATTCAGCAACAATTTTCTTACCTTAACGCCCAACGGTGAACAGGCATGTTCCATGATCTCCAAAATGTATCAATATTATTGGCATTCCACCAATCACAGTAGAAATTTCGATCAGCAAAATGCAACATCTCACCAATCAAGTTTAGAAATGAGTGAAACATCAAATAGAAGAAGATTAACCAAACTAAATGGTTTGGTATCTGCAATAAAAGTAAGTACGTCGGAGTTACGAAGAATACGAACATAGTGACACCAGAAAAAAATAAAGTTAAATAACTTACGGCAAGTTTCAGTAGTCTCTCTGTTGCTTTTGCTACATCCATGTTCTGAAACAGATACATAACCAAATAAAGTAATATATATCACGACTGTCAGAAACAAGTGTCTTCCTCGCTATTAACAACAGCCTCATAATCAAACAGATGATGTACAGTAAAAGAGTATTTGTCTTTATACTAACCGAGAAAGGTATGAGTGAGTTTTTTACTGATGGAATAATCCACTGTTGAAATAGGCACATCATCACTTGAAATCCAACCACCACTTCTACCATTCGTTTCACTAAAAACCTGTAAATGAAAATACTTTTCTTCATAGAACATTTATGCGCATATTTCAAAATATATGAAAACATTAAGTGACGGTGGAAAGGTACACTGAAATTCCAAAGGTGTTCCTCGTGACACAGCACAGGCAGGAACTGTGGCCTTACACCATATATCATCATATGCTGAGCACCAAAAACACCAAAATTTATTCATAAAATGGCAAGACTGACTCACCATAAATACTTCATGTTCTCTCCCTTCATCCTCAAAACAAACACTTTAACTTTATGTGAATTTCGAAGGCGTTCTTAATAAAATAAGAGCCTCTTCATGCAAACATAATGTGTGATATTACCTCTTACGAATCCTGTTCGTTCTAGGAAAGTTCAATTCGTAGCACAAAGTAGGTGCAAGAATATAATAAAAAATATCCTTCAGATTCAGATTATCTGGATAATGGACTAAACTGGTTTCAGCATTCTTTTCTTCATGGTCCACTGATCCATTTGCAGCATCATCTGACGCATCTTCAAACAGAAATTTTCTAGATTAAGTCTTTGTATTAACAGGAGTTGTTACTTAAATTAAGTCTAAGATTCATGAAAAATAAAATACAGCAGTACTTTTCAAAACAATTATAGTAACAGCACATTTTAAAACACATATGAGCACACAAGCATGCATGCACACACACAAACACACATCATCTCTACAAGCAGGCATCATCATTTTTAATAATATTTCAAATACCTGAATTAAAAGCAGCTAAATACTGCTAGTTGATGGTCAACAAAATGTTGTGCAATGCATGTAACACGAGTTCCCATTCTTATGTGGACTTTACTTAATAGAAATATTATAAAATATCGTGTAGACACACACACACATTCACAGGAGGTCATGTTCATCGACACTGGCACACAGACTTACATTTATTAAATTTGTTGGTTATGGATAACAATGTCAGACATGACTCCCTTAGTCTTCTGTATGTCTGCAAACATTTAAATTAATTTTAACATTTTTTGCACGCTGAATTTTCATTTGAAGCAATACCACTACACCTTACATTTGCTATACCCTGGTTTATGATTTATTCCTCCTCATATTTCCTCACAAACCTTTTCCATTTTTCTTCTTCTTCTTCTTAAATATAACCCAGTTTTCTGTAGTCTGTCATTGTCTTTATTTGTAGCTATCCTTCTAATTCAAATTGATGGCTCAATCCTTGTAAATCTTTCGTCTATCAACCCCACCGTCAAACTTCTACTTTCCTCGCATCTCATAAATATTCAAGTCGAGCTTCCTCCTTTATTACGCATAAGACACATCCCCGGCTCAATAATTTCCCCAACAACCTCTAATCTCCATATACCCATTTTCCACCATCCCATACCGCCTCTAGACTCCTGGGTACATACTTATATGCATAATTCATCTTCCCAATTACTCAGCATTTCATCATAAAATATCAGTGATCTTTCCTCTCTCATACTTGCGTCCATATTCTGTCTCTCAGTATCCACACACCTTCTGCTTGCTTCTTCATACATTTCTACCAATCCCTTCTCTGGTTTTCCAAATATCCCCCATACCCACCTTTCCTAAACCAAATGTTCCCTTTCTCTAAACTTTGTTGCTATGATGCAACCTCCACTAGGCTCGTCTCTTCTCATTCGAACAATCTTTGCCAATATTCAAGAACTCTATCACTTTCTACTTCTGATTTGTTATTGCCAGTTCTCTCATGCATGCTCCATTTGTTGCCGTGTTCATCAATCCCATTATTGTTTAGCAAAATAACTCACAAACTTTGCCTATTAAAAAGCTGTCTATTATTAGAGCAGAACTTCCCTACAGTTATCATTAGGGAACTATATACAACAAAAATCTTATTATAGTCAATATTAGAATCAGCGGAGTTTAATCGTACTGTATGATGTTTGATTAGACAGCTCCATCTCCCACAATCTTGTAGGAAAGTTCTTATATGTAAGATTTGAGATTTTCATAGCGGTGAGTATGAAGATTTCTTTCTGTCTTCTGAGTTGTTGCGCTGTGTATTCATCGCCCTGATGACGGAGGCAGTATGACCTCCGCAACGTTGGTTAACATCGACCAGACTACACAGCGCAACAACCCAGAAGACAGAAATCTTCATACTCATCGCCCTGATGACGGAGGCAGTATGACCTCCGCAACGTTGGTTAACATCGACCAGACTACACAGCGCAACAACCCAGAAGACAGAAATCTTCATACTCATCGCCCTGATGACGGAGGCAGTATGACCTCCGCAACGTTGGTTAACATCGACCAGACTACACAGCGCAACAACCCAGAAGACAGAAATCTTCAAAGTTCTTATCCTTTATCACATTTCACAGTCCCATCATGGCACACAAAATAATAAACTCAGTTATCATGTAAGTATTTTATAAGTCATCAGTGTATAAAACGTGATTCGCTCCTCCTACGTCTACAAAATAAACAGTGGATAACTTACTCTTGTGATGGAAAGAAAGACTCTGTCTTCTAAGATGTGACTTGGACACGCTTAGTCGCCTGTTCCGGCACCATAAGTTCACTTGAATGTAGGACCACAATTTTAAGAACAGGATGGAGTATATCATACATACTGATGTAGCACCAACTGCAAAATAATGTTATCAGGCCTTGTCATAAAGTTAAACTCTATTATATCTGTACAGGTAAGAGGAAGCTTCTTAAACAGCGTACACAAATATATCAAAAAGTAGCGTATTCTAAGCAACACGACAACAGACAGGATCCATTGTCAGTCCCTCAAACTACCATACAATAGGCATTTAAAAGTTTTTTTTATTTGTAGTGTTCTGTCTGACGACAGGTCCATATATTATGAACAGGATCCTTCCAACCTCTTCAGGTTGTCAGGGACGTGCTCATACATATATACATTCTTGGCAGAGATGATCAGAAGTGGTTTGCCATTGCCTTCTTCTGTGTGTGAGTGGAGTAATTGTTGGGATGCCACGGAGAAACCGGGGAAGCCCCCGGAGGAAAACTCCGTGATGCCTAGACCACGGCCTTGCCCAACACAAGTTATAAATTTGAGCACCACCGGGAATTGAACCCAGGACCCCAGGCTTACAAGGCTAGTGTTCTGACCACTAGACCACCGTGGCGATTTAAAAGTATATACATTTAATGCTTTGAGGATGAGGGACATTTAAATAGTACGCCCCATACATCAAATAAAAGCAGAATTACAAAGTCCAACGTGAAACTCCAAGTGGCAAATCATCTGTCTCAGAATGAAATATTTTGATGCACAAAAGACTAATAACCTAACCTAACACTTTTTGAAGCCACGTGTGATGGTACAATTTTTATAACTGGCTGTGGTAGAATTTCCTGAATGAAAATAATGACTGGCTATTTCTAGACAACACTGATTTTGTCACTCTGACACAAAGTTCCATGTGCAGTGACTCTGAGGGAATGACTTGAAGATGCTTAACCAGATCAGAATTCGGTACACTATACAGACATGCTTATTACAAAGAGGCAGATCAAGAGCCTTCACTAATATTCATTTTAACCAGAATAATTGTCCTCTGCTGTTGGAAGTGTAAGGGACAATTTAAAATATTCCAACTTTCCAAATTCTCATGAAAGTACTCATTCATTATCTTAACACAGAATTTAAATAAACATTACTTTTTCTTACTTACTTAAGCTGAAACCTGATGATTTTACATGAATCACCACCATTGGGATCATCACCAACACCAGCAGATTGACAACATGGGCCATCATACCAGGGGTGTAACTAATAATTTCCTGGTGAAAAAGTGAATTGAAGTTAGTACAAACTTATATCACTTATCTTCCTGTTTAAGAATATGACAAAATTCAAAAACTTACGACAGATAGGCCTTTTTCTATTAGAAGACACAGGACAACAGGAACCACAGAATCTGTAACGTGCACAAAAATATTAATTTTTCTTACATATTTTCCAAATGAAGTGATAAATTCTACCTCAGACATTGTATCTCACATGAAAGTGCTTCTTACATAAAACAGACAGACATGTTAGCAGTATATAAAACACTATTAGAAATTCAATTCTTTGTTTTACATAATTTTTTTTTAACTATGTTCCTGAAATAACATAACTATAAGCTTTGAATCCAATTCATTATGAAGGCTAAGATATTAAATACACTCGGATACTGGGAACGACCCGTTCTTCTAGTGCCTGAGCGCTTGGGTCCCAACTTTTCGTTGGCTTTGATTTATTAGACAGTCGGTAGGACTCCTTAGACGAGAGATCGGCCCGTCGCAAGGCCTCTACCTGTACAAAGGACAGCACAACACAGAAAGACGCGGACAAACATCCATGGCTTGAGTGGGATTCGAACCCACGGTCCCAGCAACCAAGCGGCACAAGGCCCACGCCTCAGACCGCGCGGCCAGTGCGGACCCCCATTAAATACACACATAAATAAAAATCACAAAAATTATCAACACACCGATCAGATACTCAACTACTACATTCACAAAACTGTATGTTACAGTATTGTAATCGCTTAAAATTGAGGAATGTTTCCACAGGTATGAAAAACATGTTGAAAACAAGAAACAAAAATGTTTTATTACTGGTCAGGAAGTATAGTCAAAAGCTGCAGCAAATGGCGATAAATAATTAAGCTAAAGTTTAATTTCGCGCACATGGAAAGCGCATGGACACTGACTACACCTGAACACTGCAGCGATAAGTTTAGATGGAAGATACATACACATCAGGAGGATTACAGAAGGGTGGTCAGCACCTCCCTCATGACGACCTGTTAAAACAATAAGCCACTGCTCAGGATCCACGCGGATGCCGTACCTGTGAAAGTACAAGAACTTATAAAATAAAAATAAATGAAGATACAAGTAAATTATATCAGCAGAAAATAAAAGTGAAAACTGAGACATGGACATCAAAACAGTCATTTTCCTTAAAATTACGACAACTCCATTAACTCTCTGTCATCCTCACTTCTATGAGTTAATCTGGGTGAAAATAAAAACCAGAAATCAGTTTGCTTACGAATGCAAACAACCAACATCTCTTATTACTAAAAACAACTTATAGACTAGATGTCAAAGCATGTGAATAGGAAAGATATAACACTTAGAAAAGAATTATAACTTGGTAAATCTGTAAATTTGATGGTGGTAAGCTCTGACCATGGATCTGTACAGGAAAATTATGAAGTTGGAAGCCTTTTAACAGACGATGGATAAACATTGACTACAAGGTTCAATGTCTCTAACATCGAATCCCAAATCTGGACAACCCTGAGACAACTCCATTCACTTCATGCTCACTACCAACTTCCCCAAGCTCTAAACTAATTTTATCCTCGATATCTGTGGTTTGTACAGCAGAAATTTTATTCCCTTTAGTAAGAATCAATAGAAATCTAAGTATAGATTGAGTTGAGGTTCTCACAGCAGTGATTACAAAGATGGATGTCTGAGTTGTGCCTGATGGAGGAAGGACCTGTGAAATGTTGGTGAACTTCTACCAGAGTACAAAGCACAACAACCGAGAAAACAGCCATCTTCATACACTCTCCGAGTTCCATTAAACAATTCAGCATCTTTATTGGTAAACAAACTAATTCTTCTTTTTCTTTAGCATTTGTCCTGCTTTTTTCCTCTCTTTTCGGAGGTTGCTTTATCTATTTAGACATTCGGTAGGACTCCTTGGACGAGTGATCAGCCCGTCGCAAGGCCTCTCCCTGTACACAGGACAGCAGAACGCAGAAAAATGCGGACAAACATCCATGGCTTGAGTGGGATTCGAATCCACGGTCCCAGCGTCCAAGTGGCACAAGGCCCACGCCTCAGACCACGCGGCCACTGTGACTGGCTATTGGTAAACAAACTTAACCTAGTAAAATCCTTAAGTTACTAACTTGAAACCAACATGACAGAAGCCCGAAAGACTGTTAATACATCGCAGCAAAGCAAATTTATAACATATTATCACTGATTGACATCACCTCAGATATAAAATATTAATTACATTAAACACCATTAATATAAGTCATTCCTTTAACACTTTCAGGCCTTTAGACAACGGTTCCACAGCACATACAAGAATGGCATGCATTAGGTTCTACAACACATACAAAAACTGACTTTTTATTTCAAGAAATAATACACTCAAGTCTAAATTAATTTAGCACTGATTTCGATTTGCCATGAAAAATATAGATTGAGCATGTCTGAAAACAAAGTTTCAGAAGAAAAAAAATTATCTAACAGGAAAGAAGTAACAAGAGAATGGATAAAATCACACAATGAGGAGTTCTGTAAACCAAATTCTTCACCAAATACTATTAAGGTTATCAAATCGAGGATGAGACAGGCAAGATGTGTATCAAATAAGGTAAATGATAAATTCAAACAAAAATTCATCAGAAAACCTGAAGGAAAGACGCCACTTGGAGCCTAAGACACGGATTGGCAGGAAATATTAAAATGGATCTTAAGGAACTGGGACAAGCCATGCCCCAGCACAGGCAGTTGGCTGCTGGCTTCTTACCGCAAAGGCCAAGGTTTTATCCCAGGGCAGTCCACGTGGGACTTGTGATGGATGTGGCACTGGGATAGGTTTTTCTCCAAGTCCTTTGGTTTTCCCCTGTCAATATTATTCCACCAATGCTCCATTTCCACATATATATATATATATCATCTGGGGGATGGACAATGGACCCATTAGTGGCTGCGGTTCCAATCATAAGAAGAAGAAAAAGAACTACGATGTGAGCTGGCTAAAGATAAGGTCCAGGTTCTTGTATATACTGTAATGAACCAGATGAGTGACTTGTTTTCATAAGAAGTACTCTGCTCATTGATGAGAGCTCAATAACTAAGGATTGATTTTACTGCACTTCCGACTCACGGTCTAAAATGAGGCATGCATTCTTACAAGTTATTGACGTTATTATAAACTGTTCACATAATTTAATATTAGGAAAGCAAAAAACAATGTCAACCTTTTCACTTGTGTTAAATACAGAAACACAAACAGTGAACACACAAATACTAGTTTCTTTCTTGATCAAGAATAGTTTATGCCAGTGTGATCCAACCAGTGGTCCACTGGCCACATCCAGCCAGTTTGTAACAAGGCCCACAAAATGATTTGTTAATTTGCTACCAGTTAGTACAAGCTCATTTATTTTCTTTACTTCAAAGCTTTTTAAAAAAATTGTGATTCTTATCTTATCTTATCTTCTGCACTACACACAAGTGCCACCACATATGCTAGTGACTTCAAAAATCCTACTGTAAAATTTACATCTTCCAGGCGAAAACCGTGTCAGATAGACGCTGTCGCAGGAGCAAATTAAAAATTATAAAACTCTACAACAATTTGTACACATTTCAGCAAAATTAATATTTGAATACATACGATGGTCATTTGTCATTTCTGAATAAGTACTGATAATGATAATAAATTGTAACTTCTTCTTCCCCTTCTTCCTTCCTCCTTTCAGAGGTTTCTTGGTCTTTTTTAAGTATGCATTTGTGAGTAGTGAGTGACCAGTCCATGGCCTCTGCACAATTTCTACTCAATCCTGATTTTATCTGCTAGAGCCATCTAGTAGTGAATCAGGTGATACATGGGTAAGAAATTGCCACTTAATTTTGCTTATGAAACATCTCACTCATGCTTGTAAGATTCTTTCACATGCTGTAAATCTGCAACATGGGGCCACCGGCTTTACTTCCTCTCTGATTGTCTCAAATAGGTAATTATATTTTTCTTAACTACTCATAACACACTCAAAATCATTCACTGTCTGGACTTTTTCCATCATCCTTGTTTAAAAGAATAAACGACGATGTTTCAGAAACTGGCTGTTTCTATCCGACAGACCCCAACCGAGTAGGTACCTCTCACCTGAAGGCGCAAACAGAGCCAGTTTCTTAAACATCGTGGTATACTCTTATAAACAAGGAAGATGGAAAAATTCCAGATAGTGCAAAATGCAATCCACCATCGTCAAAACCCTTTAGAATTGAATTACTCGTAACACTGGCTGACATTGAGCGCAACGTGACTCATCATATTTAAAAAAGAATGTTTAATATTTTTATATACGTTATTCAAAGTGAATATGTATGTTTCTATGTACAAATACGAATAAGTTCCAATTTTGCTTATATACATAGATGATGATAACTGTAATAAAACAATTTGCATTAAGCATGTTTCTCAATTATCCAGGCCCATTCTTCTACAATTACCATGGATAATCAGTGCCTTACTGCAATTCCACTCTAAAGTATTTATGGAGAAAGAACATTTTTAAATATTTCAGAACTTACTTGATGAAGTTTTCTAAGAGAAGCCTTATCCCACCCATTGTGAGAAGAAGGAAGCCCCAGTTGACAAGCCCTGTAAAGTTGTCAAACCCAGACGACCATGAAAACAGTGAATCTCGTGGTTTGTGGCATCTGTAATGTGTAATTATTATTGTAAGAATATAGAGAGAGAATTATGCATACCAAGAATATGAGTTGCATAGAAAACAGGTATAATAAGGATGCTCTTTCAAATCTGTATGGCTTAAAATAACAGTCAACCTACAAGGATTAACCTGAAACACTCCATAAAAATATGGACAGTACCAAACACAATACCAGACCTCTATTGTAAGTAGACGAAGTGTTATTCAGTATTTTAATCACAGAACACTTTTCACATAAGCAATGCTGGAATCCTACACTCACAACTTCACTTTTGCTGTATGTAATGATACATCAAACTATTATCATTTCTGAAAATTGTCTGCAGCTTTTTTAACAAAAATCATAAAGCAACAGAAGTATTGTATGGAACTGGAGGACAGTTGCGCAAAGATAGAGATGTTCCAACAACATATGTACAGAAATTCACCTGTTGAGATATTTTTTGCTTGATGAATGCCTTTCGTAGAATGCCCCCTTTCATAAAATGATAAATTAGTGTATACTTACTACATTCATTTAAGTTAATCCCTCTTAGACAGATATCATTGCATATGTCTTAATGTACATCACTTTCTGTGACCACAAAGGGTTAAAGCAGGGAGTCATTCCCAACCCTCTGAAATTGTACAGTAGGCCTTATGGCTGACTGAATATCATATTTCCATCACATCATATATCATATCATCATAAAGGGTTAAACATAAAATGCTGAAAATGAAATTCAAAATTTGAAAACAACTACATACAATGGGCCATAAGAGAAGAAACCTGAATATATCCAGCTATTCTGAACATTGATCAATGATGCACTTTAACTTAATGGTGACAGAGCAAATTCACGTATTTTTCATTCAATGTCCAAGGACAATGAATTAAAACAGATGAACATGCAACATGCCTAAAAGGTTATCATTCATTACATACTGCTGAATATCATAAAAAATTATTATTCCTAAACCCAAGAAGTGCCAAATCATAACTTTTGTTTTCTGTCTGTCTACACTATGGTATAATTCATATATTAATATGATAATAAACATATATATTGAGTACAGTATGCTTTTACAATTACTAACGGGTTGTTAATAATGTAATTACATATGTGATTAAGCTTACTGTACTATATTATGTTTTAGTTACATGTTTCTGTATTGCATTTCATACCATTTTCTGGATGTGGTTTATTGAATACAATCTAATCTAAATTGTTAACTTGTTCTTTAGGCTTCAGTTGCCATTCATAATCTGCAAATTCAACATATGTAAAAGGAACAAGTCACTGAACAGCCCAATCTTACAACCTCATTTTCAGGGTTTAAAATGTAATCATACTTTTACATCTCTCATTCCATCTATGATGAGTGACCTTGGTAGATCAGTTAACTACAGCTTAGCAAGCACCCTACTTCAGACATAACTGCATTGTCCGCAGTTATATATAAATTGGGGTTAGATTACTTAACTCAATGAACGTATCACTAACACCATCATGTATTTATGTCAATTAGTTTATGACACAAAATACAAACCCAACTTCTAAATTACATGACATAAACCTAAATATGTAAACATAAGGCAGGTGGGACTGCAAAATTAATTATCAAGTGTAACCAATGTGCTACTGTGCGTTCAGTTACGTGCATTTGCAAAACAGACGTCATTTCTACAATATAAATGGGAAACATGCTTGTAGTCTTTTAAAAAACTCGGTTATTCTTGTACTTTCTGCACTAGTACGTTGTTTGCCGTTTATGCTCACTAACACAGACAGCAACATTCACTTACATGAATAAACAAGCGATTGTTGCGAAAAATTAGTTTTCAAATGATCCGCTTAATTGTTGGTCACAACACATTTCTATTACGCAAGTAGCTTTCACTTTTCAGATGACGCCCTTCTCACAAGGAAGATAAGGATTCTATTTTTATGGTGTTGTTACTCACGGTTTGTCTGGTTGTTTTCGTCTAATACGAGCTTCTTCCTTTTGTAAATCTTCGGCTCGAGAGACACTCTTTGTTCGACGATATCGTATTCGTGTTTCTTGTTCCAAATCCATTGTCATACTGCCATTCGCATACCAAAACAAGGCGTAACCTCACTAGAACCTTGCACTACTCTCCTCCAGTCAGTAGTGATTACATCAAACATGTGCCGCCTTCTTCTCCCCCTCTGCCAGTAAGACGGTTCTTGAACACGCGCTGGGAGCACTCGTTCAGCCACAAAAAACATTCGGTTGCCAATCACGCATCATTCCGTCGACGACTGCAGCTCCCCCCCATGCCCTAATAAAAATTCAGCAGACTGCGACATCTGACATTGAAATTTGGAAGGGCGCGGAATTTAACCCGCAAAAATCCAAATAAGACAGAAACCATTCTGTACCTGCAGACCCAAAAAACATCACACTAATGGTAAAAAATTTCTTAAGTGTTTACCTACTAAGGCAGTATATGAAGCATAACTTTGGATGTGTGAATGTCTAAGTTTTGTTACTCAAATGTTTCCTTTTGTGACACTTTGAATTTCAAACATATTGTTGATGAAGACAATGATTTTTCTTACCAAATACAGTAAACCAGAGCATTATCAAATTCAGTTTGTTATTTGTGCCTATTTTCACAAAAATGACATATACACTTACTGAAGAAACAAATTTCACAGAACACTGTAGTGTAGCATCCCAGTGTGATGTTTATGTATTCTTAACTTTATAATCAATGTCTCTTTTGTTAACACACTTCTCATTATTTTACAAGTGTTCATTGATATTACAGTAAATGTTTCAACCAAAATGGACATCAGATTCAACCAAATTGTGCCCAAGCCATTCCACATCTTTGATTCAAATAACAATTGTTATATGCATTAGGTATTTAATTTTGTCACTGATAAACTAGTGAATAAAATATAATAAAATAATCCACTAATGGTACGTTAAAAATCTTTCAAATAATGCCTTACAGCATTGTGATGTTCTGTTGCACTCATGATTGAGGCAGCAAGGACCTCTGAAATGTTAGTAAGCTTCTATCAGAATACGCAGTGCAACAACCCAGCAGACAACCATCTTCAGACTCGCCACCTCAGATCCTACATACTTTGTACTTTAACCATAATAGTTACGAATTAAATCACAGTAGAATTCAACAGCCAAAATACATCTTCTTGGCACCAAACAAAATAAAATCAAACAAGTACAAACAAATAGGGAAGGTTAAATAGGACTGGGATATAAATTGACGTCTGCAGGCATTGAAAAAGTCAGTTTGTTTATCATCTGTATTTCTGTTGTACATAATGCATCACAGAGACATCTGTGAAGGAAAATTTCAGTATATACGGTCACTCTTTTTAGCTATTTACAAAAGTTCATCTACTCTAGTGCATATATTCTCCACAATAACCTTCAATTTTTAAATCAAAAGATAATAAGTACCAGCTACAGTCCAGACCATGATAAAAGTTGTTTACTGTTTCCATAAAATAGTTAAACTGGTACAGGAACATAAAAATCTTCTCCCAAGATCATATTATAAACAGCATACATGTCTATTGTTCCAATATGTCACACTATCAACTTACTGTACCATTTCTAATATGAACCTTTACAACCTGAGCAACATGGCTCATGAAGATTTCTGTCTTCTGGGTATATTCATCGCCCCGATGACGGAGGCAGTATGACCTCTGAAACGTTGGTTAACATCGACCAGACTACACAGCGCAACAACCCAGAAGACGGAAATCTTCATACTTACCGCTGTGAGAACCTCAAGTCTTACAACATGGCTCATGCGCGATCCAGCTGTCCCGTACATCACACTAGCATGAAGCTGAGCGGTTAACGCCAAGCCAAAGTCCAACTGGCAGGGGGACATAAATCCCGTTCCCACACAGTAAAGGTTGACCGTGACTTGCACAACAGTTATCTACAGAGTGCTGTGGAAGCGTCGAATAATAATTAATTTTGTAGCGTAGGAAATGCACAGCATTTCTTTAACTTATTATAAGACAGCATTGCTACTTAATCAAAGCGTGCTCGGCGATATATGAACAGAGAGCAAAACTGCATTAAAAAATATACATACTTCTGTTTGCTTCAGCTGTGCAGATATGAGGAATGTTACCATTGATGTACATGTGCAAAACAGTTTTCAGTCCACTTATTTAATGGAAAGCTGCGTGTAAAACTGAGAAAGAAAATGTTTCATTTATATTTTCTTCAAGTTGCAAAAATTCTTTACTTTGTTAATTTCTCTTCGGCATAAACCAATGATCACAAGCAAATTGGAAAAAATTTTGTAATTTTTGAAAGCAGTTACATTTTGCCAAGAAACACGAACTGTAAACATAACATGTCTTTACAAATGTTCTGCACAGTTCTGCCATCAGAATTAAATAAAATATACAAGAAAATGTTACAAACAGCTGGGCCAGCCAGCCTGAACTCTCTTACTTTGGCTGATCGGGTTGGATGAGCGAGATAAAACAGCTTGAATAATGAAACCATACCGCCATAATTTACAATGAAAGGCACGTTATTGTCTGTTTCTTTTGGTACAACGTCGAACTGTATAACCTACAAATTAACTTACAACTCATGACATGTGAAACTAAACAAAATGTTATAATACCATTTGCTTATAACAAATGAATCGGTCTGAATTACAATTATCTAACGTAATCAATGTTAAATCTTTGGTAAATTTTGTTTAGTTCGTGTTGGTACACTGGCCAGATTTTGTAGGTCATCCAAAGACTTCTTTGCAGCAGATGATATATCATCCATCGACTTGCGAGCTGTTGACGTGATATCATCGAAAGACTTCTTCGTGTGCGTGAAGAGTTCATCGGTACTTTTGACTGCGGTGTTGGCAATTTCTTTTACTTCAGCGTCAATTTTGTCAATCACCCATTCAATCGCTTGTCTGCCCTGGAAATAAGCAGAAACCCCTTTTATATTAAGGAAAAGCCAAGATTATTGTTATTATTATTTTCAATCTACGTAATTTTATATTGCATCACATTAATGTAACTACTGCCCGACTGCTATACGGGCCTCGGTAATAGCACAGCACAAAAAACTTACAATAAAGTAAACAATTTAAACATATTTAATAAATTATTTAGGTAGCATAGCTAATACAAAGCCGATGTTTGCAATTATATTGTTCATTTCAGTAATTAGAACATATCCATTTTCACTGAATGTTAAATTCATATTCATTTGCGGAACAGACGTTCCGCTCGTGAATACACCATGTCATGGGAGAGGTTTGGACCTGCTTCGGATTTAATTTTTGATCCATAAACTGTTGTAAGTATCATTTCATTTGCCGCACCTTTATTATACCAAGGTCACAACAGCGATTTTATTACAAATGATGGCAGCACTTATTATACTTTACCTTTCCTGCATTGAGTGAAATTCTATTGGTCAGGAGGTCTTCCACATAGCTATTAAGTGGCACTCCTTTTACCGTCACAACAGCCTCTTGCTTTAGCAGAGTTTTGGTCGGATCCTGAGGATGAGGAGCATAACTTACTGTCTCATCTACGGCGATGTAGCTGCAGAATGTTAACTGAAAAACAATATATTCTGGTTTTAGACTGGCCTTAAAGAAACTCTGAAACTCGGGTAAGTAGATGGCTGTCTTCTGGGTTGTTGCGCCTCCATCATCAGGGCGACGATCGCCCCGATAATGGAGGTAGCAAAAACCTCTGAAATGTCGGTAAACTTCTACCAGATTACACGGTGCAACAACTCAGAATACAGCCATCTTCAGACTTACTGCCGTGAAAACCTGATATCCTACTCAGGTACATAATTTACATAGAAAATAAAGCAAATGCATGCATAGTGTGACAATTATAGTGCATTCGCCAAGATTTTACTTTCGTCGGGTGGAGTAGTGGAAGAACACTGCTCATAGCGTGGTAGCCGCGGAAAAATAAATCAACAGTCATATAAATCCCTTATTTGTTTTAATTTCATAATTGTCACGTCATCTACGATGACACTGAGCTATGACATCATCAGTTTTGGAGGTTAATGGGTGAGTGGTTCTCACGTTACATGTACAAAGACATCACAAGTCATCAGAGGATCTTGTATGGAAGTTACGCCACTGGAAGACTGTCAAAAGTTGTACTTTTCAATTTCACACAGTTGGTACTACCAATGTGATGGATGCTGAAAATTGTGACTTGAGAGAATGATCCTCTGCGATGATGCCACTACCCATAATCATTTATGATGATATGGCGACAGCAGATGTGTATTTCTTGATTTCCTACAATTCGTCCAACATAATGGATGCTCGAATGTCAGGATGTGGAGGATGAAACCACTGTCCATGATTCTCTGCAGTGATTGATATCATCATGATGGCATATTTGCGTGTATACAATGCATATAAAAACCTAATACTGGCAGAATGATTTTCATGAAATTTTATATGGGCATTATGCCACCACAGACTACTCCAAAACCGCAGTTCTTGGAAGGATATTCATCTGCGAAGACATAATTATACAAAACTTCATGAGAATTCTTTCAGCCATTCCTATGTTGTTATATATACAAAGCAAAGCAATTTGCTGGGGTAGGAAATGCTCACATTTCTTGTCTTCAGTATCATTTGCCTTGTGCTTGGGTTCACTTCTGAACGTTCACTGGCATAACAAACACTGGTTGATCCAACAATCTGAAAAAAGGAAAGCACAATCACATGCAAATCACGCTTTTTAAATTTTTCTTTTAAATACAAAGCAAGCATCTCTTATTAAATATATAAAACAGAGACAGACTTTCAAACTCCAACTAAAAAGGACTTCAAGATGGACTGCAATAGTAAAAAAAGATCTTCTTTCAGTTGTAAAGGGTTTTGACGATGGTAGATTATGTTTAAAACTATTCATCGTCAGGAATTTTTTCAGTTTTATCAATAAATAAATGAAACATTATGTGTGCATTTCAGCAAAAAATTGGAAAAAGATAAAAAGAAAGAAAAAATGGCAGACACGTGAAGTGTTCAGTAGTTGAGAATGGTGATATTCCATATAGAAGTGACTTTTAGGCTATACAATGTAGCACGTACAAAAAATTCCCCTGATATGATGTCACTTTCTGCTGCATTTCTTGGTGCATTTAAAAATAAAGACATACGCAAGATGAGACTACACTTTCTCAAAGTATTAAAAAACATAAGGCTCCTTCATACTAAGTTGATGAATGGGTATAACAACATGATTTTATCATCTGTGTCCTGTTACATTAAAATACCACAGGAAGTTCTGTGTGCCGCCAACCCCTCCCCAAGGGTGACAAGAAGAGTCATGAAAATAATCCCAAAGTATGTCATGCATACTATTTTGCAAGTAAGAACTTTAACCTTCAGCCTCAATTTAAAACTTTATCTGAATTATGTAATAGAATTCTCAGCACTCAAGTGCCAAGAAATCTTCCTGGAGGTGAATGCCAAGTTTATTTAAAGTAGGGTTTTGTAAGAGATGGCACACGGTTTTGCTTCTTCTGTGACAGCAGCCATATTTCACTACTACTTTGAGTGAATGTGTATTAACAACAAAATATGTTCATACATGCTAATGTTCTTGAACTTTTATTAACTGAAAATATGTAATATTCACATAAATTCATTGAGATGGCTTAGGGAGGAGCAAGCTACCAGGAGGAAGCCTTGCTGGCATCAAGACTTCTGGGGGTGTAAGTGACCAACGCGGAAGCTCAGACTGATCACCAAGCAATAGGAGAGCAAAACGTCCACCACTGGAAGAACTCAAAAAAATTGTCTGCAAAAAGTGGTTACTGTTGAAATGGCAATAAAATGGTGACTCAGCCCTACAAAGAGTTTTGTGTGCATGAGTTCTATCCACAAATCTGTGCCCACTGTTCAGGGTGGGGGTGGGGGTTTCAGAAGAGGTTTCCTAAAAATCAGCAAATTAAATTTGCTTTGTTGGGTTCAGTCACAATTTTACCTCCACGTCAACAGTTCACACTACTACCAGCCATCATCGAGAGACACCACTTCTCCCTTAAAATGTAGCATTTTCAGTTGGACAATATCTAGCAGAAATGGTTAAACAAAAGAACTGGTTTGGCGCATCTGTTTCGGATTCACAAGGTCCCGAATTCAAATTGACCCAAAAACTGGTTACTCTGATATTTTCTCGCGATTTTCAGTCCCTCCAGCCAAATGTTCGAACAGTATTACAATAGCATACTGCTAAACCATTAACCCCAGAGTTAGAGTTTAGTTTCAGTTAACCTTTACCTTTCAAACAATCCATATACTGGGCTTTAAATCCTATTACCTCATCCTATAAGAGACCCATACTTTGGGCTTCATGCATTTCATTACTGATGTGTTTCAATACACACCTATTGGTCTGTAACCACTCAAAATTTGAATGTTATATTATTTAGTGAAAAATATATGAAAATTTCAGTCAGTTTACTGTAACTCACAGCATTCCCCTTCTATCACAACCAAGCAACCACAACTGGACCACGGCTGTCATATTTTGGATAGTGACATGCATCATGTTTACAATTCAGCACATGAATGCAAGTCCTTACTTTATTCACCCCCCCACAGGTGTACCAATATGTAAATATAATGTAAAGGCAACCTCAATCTCATATTTCAGTCACAATTAACACTCCTGCAAGTAATTTCAGTACAGAAATCTTTGTAGAACAAAGGACTGAAAAATTTGGTCAATTAATTACAGTCACTAAAAATAACTACCCAATCCCCCCCTTTCATTCAATTTGGATTTTATTCAAGGTTTATAGCCCCAGAACAAACAATTTGAACTTAATACAATTGGTCACCATATTAAAGATATATGCCTACTGCAGACAGTATTACTATCACCACTGCCTCAAAGTGTTCTGGAAAATGCATTCAGATATGTCACAGAGAAAATAAAAAGGCTAACCTATGTTAAGGTCAGTAGAATAAAATGAAAACAGATACCTCTAGGGCCCCAAAGCCTAATCAAATGAAACTTTACTCACAGACTGTGCCCACTGTGGGAAGCCCCACTTGGAGCTGACAAGCCGATGTGTATGCAGAACTCCATTGACAACTTTCCTGTCTACTACATCTGTACCTATGACGGCTGGGTTCATAGGATTTGGATATTTTCTCCATGCAGCTTGAGCCACTGTTTCCCATGGATGACTGTAAATATGTAGGTTACATTTGCATTAAGAACAAAGAACAATGATAAGCTGTAAGAAATATAACTATGCACGATCAATTAAAAACAACTACCATATTAAAAACTGATATTCATATGGACACCCTTACTATATTGTTAAGAATACTTTTAACTGGAATAAAAAATAAATTCTCTCTTTGTTTCCTTCCGAAGTCTAAATCACAATATAAAAAAGTTTAAGCCAGTACTAAAGGAGTATCTCTTACGTCACTCCTACTCCAACCTCAACAAAAGATTTTCTGCAATTTTAAATACATGTAAGCAGTAGTCGATATCTTTTCATATGTAATTATTTTTGGACTGTAAATTACTGTCATAAAAATGTAATCCATATTTGTATTAGAAACACGTATTGTACTTCCGCTACGCCTCATCCTTGGCTTGGGCCTGTGAAGGTTCTGTGCAATGTAAATTCTATTCTACTCAGTGTGCTGCTAACACGAATTCATCTGCATAAAAATTACTGCAATACAATTTATGTAGGTGACATACTTAAACGTATGTTCCGACGTCCAAATCTTCATTTCAAATGTATTAATGAATGCAATTCTACACAACTTCCTGAACAGCTACAAATAGGGCTTCCACTTTACACTATTCCAACAAGCTGTAATTGACGTCATTCATACAAGATCATAGGGCCCTGCTAATGATTAGACCAAAGACTATAAACATGGATTGTTATTTCCGTGATAGACCATGGCCTCCTTGAAACACATGAAAAGTTGGGACCCGTTCAAGTGCCTGAGCACTGCGGGTCCCAACTTTTCATTGGCTTCATCTGTAGACATTTTGGTAGGACTCCTTGGACGAGGGATCGGCCCGTCGCAAGGCCTCTACCTGCACAACACAGAAAAAGGCAGACAAACATCCATGGGATTCGAACCCACGGTCCGCGCGGCCACTGCGGACCCCCTACTGAATAACAGTACATATAAATTTATGTGTGGACATGTGTAATTATCTTCAGATATTATATATCCTGTAATAATTTAGTTTGCATTTATCTCTGACATGCCATCATATTTTGTAATGTCTATTTTGATACTAATTAAACCACAATTGTTTGTATTTGTTTGGTCTTTGTTTGAGGTATGCTTGGCTCAATGCCACTGGTTTCCAATCTTTACATTTGACAACCTCCACTGCCAATGTTTTAGTTTTATGTACCATTTACATGTACTCACACAATAGTCTCGCACTTCGACCAGATGTCCCAGCTGCTTTGCTGCTCATACGTTACAGGGCACAGTTGAAGAAAACTTCACCACGGCTCTACCGTAGATTGTGGCATTGTTTATTTTGGAATCAGTCATCAACCATTACAATGTATAGCCAGTATCTCAAACATACGGGTTCAGTCCACGAAGACGACTGTTTTGCAAGCATCTCATGAACAGGAGTTAGTAATTTAGGGCAGGAAATATTTAACACGAGTGAAAAAAGTCCACAGAAGTACAGTACAATTAATAAGAGTTAACATAAGCTCAGGTGGTCTAAGAGCAAATTGTACGCAAAATTATTGTAGCCTTAACTGACCTCTTATCATTCTGCAACCAGTATTGTACTACACTTCCATTCTCATGGAACATAAAGTGCATCTATTTATGTATGTCTACTAGGTTTTTATATACTGAATTTTAAAAATGTCAAAATTCCTCTAATAATCACATTCATATGTTAATGCAGTAAATTTTCCATCAACAAATGTTTTATTCTCTGATTTTTGTTAATTCTATTGTAAGTGTCTACTACATTAATTAACGTCTTTATTTATTCATCAAAGACGTTTGTATAACATAACATTAAATGAACATAAAATTATATATATATATATATATATATATACACACACACACACACATATATATCTATATATTGGGAAACTTTAAATGTAAAATTATTTTAAATGTTATAAACATTACATTACCTAAAGAATGCAAACAATGCACTCATTAAAATGCTTAAATCACAGACTGGCCAGTCACAATTTTTAGATAACATAATTTTAAGAAAATATCATATAATTACATTTTGCTCAATTACTTTTGTTTTGTCACAGTGTTGTATTAACTGTAGTTTACAGTACAAATATCAGGCATATCAGTAATATGATGAGACTAGATAAGTCACAACGAAGTGGATCAATCCCGCAATGAAATGCACAACACAAGCGATCACATTAACTTCTTTTACTCCCAGCATTTCTTCCAATGAGATACAGGCTGCAAGGGGATGTCATCCTCTGAGTTACTTCTGATACTGTAAAAGAAAAGTTCCACAGCCTGTTGAAAATAATAGGCACTGTTATATCTGTTATGTGATTAAAGTATTCAAAAAGTGAAAAGATGAACAATGAATAAGAAGTATTAAAGTTCTTCACAAACAGTGCTTTGCAATCAGACGAACACCAGCAGCACATGTTCAGCTTAATCCTTATCACCACCCTCCACATAAAAAAGACACCTTCCCCCCCCCAAATTGTTCCAGATCAACATAGAACCACAAAAGCAAAAATGTCAGACATCATCATAAATACTGTATCTGATGCTACTGTTTACAAGATGGATGACAATTACATAATTTAATTTAGTAGAAAGTAAATATTACCACAGGTTTCCCAGTAGCAGAAACAAATTCGTGTATCACAGAGCATCAATATAGATCAGATGCATAGATAAAATGTGACAAAGAAGAGCATTCCAACAAAAACGCAAAGCCGGTTATAGATCCGATCTACAATTGTATATTTTATGCAGTATACTTACAAACTTTTTATGTGATAAGCCATTTATGAGAGAACACTTATAAAGAATACTGAATCTAAACATCTCATAAAGCACAATACAATAACACAGAACAAATGCACCAGACAAGATCAAAAGAAAGTATTAAAATATTCCAGTGCAAGAGCGCTGAGAAAGCCCAGACAATCAAAGTAGGCATATTTTCAAAAATTTAATTTATAGACATCAGTACTTCAGCAAGAAAACGTCTTGGTTCATTCCCGCCTTTAGTAACACTTCACCAGTGACAGAGTAAAGGGGCGTAGATTAAAAAAAAAAACATCACTGCTGCCTAAGGCCCGTAACATTTCATACCATCTGTAATATAGAAAAACTAACACATACACCTGAAGTTCAAGTTTTCCGTGCATACCTGCACCAGTTTTGTAAAAATCAATAAATGTGGTTTGTGAGGAATTTTAAAAAACTGTGTAGGGGGGGGGGGATTATTTTCTTAACTTTTGGAACATGGCATTGGAAAATTTGAGTGGAAGCAACGATAAATGAAGATGGTCAAGATATAAACAGAAAATACACAGTGCTAATGATAATGCGACAATATTTATCTCAGCAGGTTGTTTCTCAAAAATTTTAGAGCAGACCCCAAACAGAAACATTAATGGGAAGTCCCAAGAAAGATGCCTACATATAGTAGAAACTGCAGGAGTTTAGGCAGTAATAGTACACTACATAACGCAAAAACCCACTGAGAGAGGCCGCAGACATTGGGAAAGTTTAGGAATGAGACACGTAGTAACTTCTTGCATAAACAGAATAAATGCAGAACCACTACAATGCAGGGTAACTTATGCCATCAGACAGAAACATGATTATTCTCAGTCACTTTACACACACTGTTCGCTAGTTTAACATGTTTCAGTCCAATAAGACAATCAAAAGGTTCAATTTTAAAGAAAAAAGAATTACATAATAATGATGGAGTTCAATGCAAAACACCCTATTAAGACAATCAAAAGGTTCAATTTTAAACAAAAAAGAATGACATAATAATGATAGAGTTCAATGCAATACACCCTACGACAAAATTTACAATATAAAATGAATCTGATGACAAACTACGTTTTGACTTGATTTCAGATCAAATACACAATGAATTAAACTTCACTCTTTTTAGGAAATCCACATCAAGATAAACTGGCTAGTATTAATTACCTAATAAACAGATTACACACACAATATTAAAACATGCAAAAGACAGAATCAGGTGATATAGGGCATGAGATAAATATTTATAACAACAGTAGCATCTATCCAGTCAACTGTTTAGAATGCCCAAGAAGTATACAACATATGTATAATTTTACAAATCCTATAAAAACCTTCTGCTGCCAGCAGTTTTAACTAGTTTTAAAGTAAAAAACATCTGAACAGCTTTCAAAACCACAAACTTTATGTATTTTATATATTACCATAATGTCAGGCAAAATCAGGGAGAACAAAGTAACACATATCCTGCGCAACGACTTTGAACCAATATCTGAAACTGATGATGGCCATATTAGGTTGAAACACGTAGTTCAACAAATAGAAACTGGCTAGCAGTAAATGTGAGTAAAAGTGACAGCGAAAAACCACCAAGAATCAACATATACTGGGATGCTACACTAGAATTTTTGAACCAGATAAAATCCTTAGAATGCATTAATTCTGCCAGTGGAATTATAATGAAACACAGGATCATAGTATTTAATTGATTAACTAATATTGCTACACATGGCTGTTGAATTTGTATGTTTGGTAGAAGTTTATTGTTTGTTAGGAATATGAACACAGGTTTGTAAAATTTGTTTCAAATGACATCAGTTCACATTAACCTGATTCAGAAATCCAAAATTTTGAACACCTGAAACAAGATTATGGAATAGAGATTGTACTCACATTACTGCAGAGGTCACTGAACTGTAAGTTTCCAGAGGACACAATTCTGTACACACACATTAACCACAGCAGCCGAGATTGCTTTGTTGCACAGTCTGCTTTCATGAGGACACCACTGAAAGATGATCTGTGAGGATCTCCAGATGGCAGATGAGTTCCTCAAGAAAATTACACTAGCCATATTAAAATCCCAGAATTATACAGCAAATGGTCTCAATCCACAACTGTTTACAGCCCAATTAGCTACATTCATTTCACACACCATTGTATTTCTGGAAAATTGTTTTGAGCGCAACTCTTTGGCAATATTCAAATACTTTATCAAAACAATTTCAAGAACCACAGTATTCTATACTTTGAACAATGTAGTCAGCACACCAGAATTACAATGTATTTTGTGTATGGCAGCGCGGTACATTACCACATTTTACGAGCACAGTTCACACCTTTCAACATAGTTAACTTTATATAATTCATAAAACACACAGTTGGTCAAATGTTAATATTGGAGAGAAATATATATAAATTTATTGTGCAAATATCATCTAATAAATGGACAGCAGCAAAGCTATCGTAATATGTGATTAAGGGAAACAATTGTTCTTTCAAATTTATCGAAGTCCCTGCAGACAACATTAGCAGCTGATGTGCATCTAGGACAGTTTTTAATTAAAGGGGTCACTGAACATGGAAAAGTCTCTCAGATTCCG